GAAAAGAACCTCATCCTGGAGCCTCAAGCCCAGTAAGTGGTGCCCCAGCTGTGGCCCGGGCATCTTGTATTGTAGAAGCTTGCTGGGTTCAGCCACTGGTGGAGTGCCCTCACTTAGGAGAGAAGGATTCCATGGAAGGAAGACCCCAGCCAAGTCCTGTCGCTCATAGTTCTTCTGCTCATAGTTCTTCCGTAGAACTTCTCCCTTGTGCCAAGTCTTCATTTTCTGTTTGAAACATGGATAGTTAGTAGCCACCCAGGGCTCCTCAGTAAGCATTTTCAAAAACTGCTGAAGTGCCTTCCCCAGCAGTGTGCAGAGGCCTATTATACAGCAAAAGGCATCCAGAGACAGTAACCTTGTCAGGGGGCAAAGGAAGTGGTGAGGCCAGGCTCAGAACTGTTTGCTGGACTCTAAGCCCCTCATGCTTTACACTCTACTGCTGTATTGCCTTCTGAATTTGTCAGTAAAATATCTTATCTGCCCCTCCATTTTGCTGGTGAAGACTGTAGGGCTGGGGCTGCAAAGGCCATTTGTTAGTCAAATTCATTAGCTGATAGCATAAAATATGCATGCAAAGTCATGGTAATCAGTGCAGAAGAGGTTTTAAAAGAGATGCGGATAACTCAGATGTGCTTCTTCATGTGAAGTTAACTCGGAGGATACTGCTGATGTCAGGAGAGTCCCGTCTGGGTGGCCCACTCAGACAAGTGGCCCACATCTGCGTGCTGGTGCTGTCTGCATTCTGATCTCCTGCAGGTCCAGCTCGTGTAACTACAGGTTAAAACCGATCTTTCTCCCCAGCTTGGCTTCTGCCTCCTTCTGGTGGGAGGACTTTGAGATGGTTATTGCAAACCAGCACAATTTCAGTTCCCTTTGGCAGCCATAGGGATGGATCCTCTCTTCAGTGTCATCTGTCAAAACAACCCTTTGTTTTTCCCCTTGAAGTTGCAGCTGAAGCAAGCTCATCTACTTATATGAACTTGTATTTTTTTTTTTTTGACAATCTTTACATAGTTAATTAGGGTAAAAAGGTTCAAGTGCTACAGGAAAGTGGGTAAGACTATTATTCCATATTGTTTTCTTCAAGTTTAAAGGCGGGTATTAAGGGAGAAGGCCCACCCAATTTCCCACCCTCCCCAGGTCCTGGATGTAGGGTATGCTCTGAGGTTCTTGCTCAGATGGTTTTGATATTTCAGCAGTTATGAATCGCTGCCAATCTTGCCACTCCAAGCACTATGAGGTCCTTGAAGAATCCACTGATTGACATAGTCCATCATGGAGTCTTTGTTTGCCCCATATTTCGCTGCCAAGATATAGCCGAGTTGGTTGGTTGACCTGTTCTGTCTTCTCTCTTTTCTTGGTTAGGGTTCTGAGTCCAGCATTTTGATTGGGGAGATCTCCAAAGAAACTTTGTCTGAGGTGTTCTCAAACCAGATTCTTGTATGTGCTAGCAAGTACAGGGCCTGGCACGGTCCATCGCCCGCATGTTGTTTTTTGAGGATAGAATTTCCCAGAGAAGGAAACTTGTTGGAGGTGTGGGAGCTGCAGCCAAGAGTCTTCCAAACTTTTTTTTAAAAAAGATTTATTTATTTTTATTGGAAAGGCGGATATACAGAGAGGAGGAGAGAACAGAGAGGAAGATCTTCCATCTGATGATTCACTCCCCAGGCAGCCACAATGGCTGGAGTGAGCCAATCCAAAGCCAGGATCCAGGAGCTCTTCTGGGTCTTCCAAAGACCTTGAGCCATTCTGACTGCTTTCCCAGGCCACAAGCAGGGAGCTGGATGGAAAGTGGAGGTGCCAGGATTAGAACCAGCAACCATATGGGATCCCGGCACCTGCAAGGCAAGAATTTAAACCACTACGCTATTGCACCGGGTCCCCTTTTTAATTAGTTTATTTAAGAATAATTTTAGGACATTGTAGGGTAGATGAGGGCAGCTGTTGTTATCGGCGTGGTTAGTCGCTCAATCTAGGGAGGAGAGCTGGAACTGGAACCCGGGGTGCCAGTCTCCCAAGCTAGCTGTGACATGGGCCAGCCCTGACCAGATGGTAGGGTTGAACTCGTCCAACTGGCTGATTCTTTGCATGATTGGCAGTCTGCCTGCAGCTCACGTGCACACCAGCTGGTCTTCTGGGTTTATTTGGTGGCCTTTAGCAGAGAACTGAAACAAGTAGCCAGGGTGTGTTGGGTACTAATACAGTGTGGTACGACTGGCTTACGGACAGCCAGGTCTCGGCTCCAGGAAAACACTCTGACATTGGCCCCGATTCATCCACCCATCCTCTGACTCACCTGACACCCTGTGAGTGTGTCTGATGAGTGACCAAGTGAATGAACATGACTTTTCAGAGCCAAGGGTCCTCACCTGGGTCTAGGTAACTCCGGTGAGATCTTAAATTCAAGTGACCAGGCCTTACCCATGGACAACCCTTTTAGCCCGAGCTGCCCACCAGACTGTAGTTGGGTGTGTATATATTAGCCCAGCCAGTGGTCTCCAAACAGATGGCTTCCTTCCCCTGTAACATAGCAAACATCTGTGTAACTCCAATAGGCATCTTGAAGTTGATGTTGAAAACCGACAATGAAATGCATCATTTCAAAAGCTTTCTTTGTCAGAAGTTAGACATGATGCCAAAGATACACACACGTACTCCTTGGAGAATCTTAGATTACATACAGGTGTATTTCATGTGCAATCATTACGCTGTTCAGGAGAAAGAGGAAGAGGCTGGGGTCCAACAAGGGTGGTGGCAGGGGGACAGAGTTGTCCCACTTTTTATAACAGGGTCAAGAGAAAGGAGGGGAGGAAACCCAAGGGCTTCCTTCAGGCAGGGGCAGGAGATTATGGAGATTATATTAAGTTGATTTGAGTTGACTTGTGCTGTGAGTTAAAAAAAAAAAAAAAAGCAGAAAGGGAAGTAGGGGAATGAGATTCTGCTGGAAGGCCCTGTGGTTCCTGCTGAGACCTGGGTGACCAGGGAGGAGGGACCCTGGCTGCACCACCAGTCTCCTGCTGCCACTTGAAGTCTTGGGTCTTGGTTTCTCTGCTATTACCTTTTTGGATTTGTTAGTATTTTTTTTCCGTTCCCAAAGTGTTAGTGCAGGAGATTAGTGATGAGTGGATGGGTCTAATCCCCGATTTGGATATCAGGCAGCTTCTATCTCTGGGCTTCCTTGGCTCAGTTCCATGTATGAGTGCAGCGGAAGTGTGCATGTGCGCATGTGTCTGTGTGATTGTATGCACATATGTGCGTGTGGTGTTTGTGCACGCATGTGTCTGATCGTCTCTGGTGTCAGGGTGCCTCTAGGAGCCGCCTGTCTGCTTGTCCTGAGGGCAGAAGGCCCCGCAGTGCTGGTTAACATCACTCTAATGATTATGACCGCTGCCCCTCCCAGGACAGTGCCAGCTGTTGTTTTCTAGGAACATGTTTGCTTGTTCCAGGGCCACTAGAAGCCAAAGAATGCAGTTTAGGGCTCTCTGTGTTCCCTCTCCTCTCCCCCTCATCTCCTGAGCCCGTGGAGTCACAAGGTGGTGTTTGGCTGTGGACCTCAGCCTGGGACCTTGCCAGGTGTCCTCCTTCCTGCCCACCCCCAGGTGTGCACCGGACAGTGGCTCTGCTTTCTCCCCACCCTCCCTGGCACTTGCCCACTGAGGTTCCTCCGTGCGTCACAGCCTCTGTCCAAATCTGACACTGGCTGTGCTCCATAAATGGCTTTCAGAGTTTCCCCTTCCCAGCGTGCAGGTGGCCTGTGCTTGGCAAGCCACGAGGACAGCTGGGCTGACGGTGGCCCGCGAGTCCTGGGGCAGCACCACCCAGGACTTGGCACCTTGCCTGGGCGTGCAAGCACTAGTCACTAGGCCATAGGAGTCCACCTGAGAAGTCTCAGGTCTTTGGGTTCCAGAACAGGCTGCTCTGGAATTCTCTCAGCGGGCCAGGTGAGGCCCTTATTCCCTGGTAGTGTTAATGGAACTGCTGAGGAAAGTGGGGCAGTGGTTGAGTGGTAGAAGCCAGGCAGGCTGGTGTCTGCCCTTGCCTAGGTTCAGGGCCTGGCATGGCTTGCTGCCTGGCAGCAGAAGGTCAGGTTAAAGTTTCTTTTAGGAAGGCTGTGCCCACGTGCCAGGTGAGGACTGGGAAGCTGGTGCTTGACTTCTTGCAGCCTGACATATTGTTACTCACCTCCCCCTGCCCTCTCCCTCTTTCTCCCTCATCATCCCTGGTGTTGTGGTCCCTTCTCTGTACCCCAGGGAGAGGGACATTTCTACCAGTGGTAGAGAGCCCAGGCTGGATGTAGGGCCTTTTGTGTTGTGGGGGTTTGAGTTTGGGATTGTGCTAAATACACCCTGAAGCTGTAAATCAGCACTGGGCCTCTGGCCACTAGGGGGCCGTGATCCTTTTGGATCATAAAATGCAGGAGCTTAGGGGCTGGGAAATGAGCAGAATTTTGATTTATTGTTGGCCATGGCCTTGTGTTTGTTAGCTTGTCACATGACTGATAAAAATTCTTCCGAATTTTTTATTTGGAGAGAGATGGGAGAGTGTAGTCCCTTCTGGTGCTCTTGAGACCTGGAGCAGGTGCAAGGCTAGGAGCCAGAAATGGAAAGAACCCATTACCTGAGCCATCACTACTGACTTAATGGTCAAGAGAGGTGTTAATAAGAACTGGATGTGGAAGCCAGAGCCAGGTATTGAACCCAGGTACTCTTGGGATCCAGGTACCCTAAGTACCAGGCCAAATGGCTGGCTCTCCCCTCCCCCCATTAACACATGAGAGTTGCACATCTGGATGGAATACAGTGTCTAATTGTTACATGTATATGATGTATATATGTTACATGCATAATTCGTATTTCTATTTATTTAAGTATCGTTTCTTTGTGTTTGGAGCCTCTAAGCTCCTCTTAAAATTCTATACAAAACAGGTCAAAAATTATTGATTATGATCACATCATTGTGCTGTGGACCACTGGACCTTACTTTTTTCTTGTTCTTTCCAGCCTGTGGACCAAAGCTGACGAATTCCCCCACCGTGATTGTCATGGTGGGCCTCCCCGCCCGGGGTAAGACTTACATCTCCAAGAAACTGACTCGTTACCTCAACTGGATCGGTGTCCCCACGAAAGGTGAGCTGCCGCCCCAGACCGGGCAGATTATTGTCCTTGAATGTCCTATTTTTTTTAGTATTATTTTACATTTCCTCTGCTGAGAGTTCTCTCCGTGCTCCAGGCTGTTGTTGCTACTTTGAACCTGCCCCATCCTCCCAGCTATGTTTTTCTTCTTGCTGGCTTCTTTCTGCTATCAGAGCCCAGTCACTTTTAATGTGTCCTCCTGCTGTTTGCTGGACTGAGAGCAGGAAAATGGATGGTGTGGGACTGGCCCACGGGGGTGCCACTCTTGGGAAAAGATATTTGTTCTCACAATCCCTGCAGCACGATGGGCCTGGGTTGTAGTAGAGAATGTCACATAATGCAGGCAGTCCCGAACACTATGTTTTTGGGGGAAGCTGAGCTGCTTGCCAGGCCAGTGCTTGCAGGGAGCAGGTAAGGCTGGACTGCGACATTCACACTTTGCTTCCATCCTGAGTCGTCATTGCGTTCAGATTGGTGTTTGTTCGTTGATCTTCCCCCACCTCTCCTCCCACCTTTACTCAACACTGTTTTCCTGGCTGGAACTTGGTCCCTTCCTCCTGCTTGGTCACCTAGGGCTGTCCTTTGTCTTTCCCCCACACAGTGTTCAACGTGGGAGAGTATCGCCGGGAGGCAGTGAAGCAATATAGCTCCTACAACTTCTTCCGCCCTGACAATGAGGAAGCCATGAAAGTCCGAAAGTAAGACGCCAGCCTCCTGGCAAGCATTTTTCTTTATTTTTGGGGGGGAGGAGGGGTCGTTCACTCTGTCTTTTTGGCTGGACTCTGTAAGAGCAGGAGAAGCCACCCGGCCAGTAGGGCTGCTCCCTGCAGGTGGCCCTCTGATCTGCCTCTTGGCCTCCAGAGGCTGGCTGCTTTGTTCTGTTCCCAGAGGGTCTGCCTTAGCTGATGGAGGTGGGTCAGTAGCAGCCGCAGCCACGTCTTTTAAGCTCAACACAAAGTCCATCGCACTGAGAATCATCCGTGTAGCTTTGGAAATGATTCTTCTTGTGAGGCAGGTGGTGATCTGGATCCCTGGTGCTGTGTCACCCACCCCCAGCTGCTTATTAAGACCACCTGGGAAGCTTGGGAAGGGGCCAGGGTCCACCACAGGCCAGTCCAGCAAGCATCTGTGGGTGGGCTCCACACATCTGTTTGTTGAACAGCTCCCCTAAGCAGTAGTTCCGGCGTGCAGCCATGCGTGCAGGCGCGTGCAAGCTCCTTAAGGTGCCCGGGGCCATCCGCATTGCACCAAATTGAAAGGCCTGGCCAGCCCTGAGCTGGAATTATGGCTTCCTGTTTGTTGGGGCCAGTGAGGGAGCTTCCAGTGGCTGGGCTGGCTCTGATTGCAGTTTCTCTTTCTGGTGTGTTGCAGGCAATGTGCCTTAGCCGCCCTGAGAGATGTCAAAAGTTACCTGACCAAGGAAGGAGGCCAAATTGCTGTAAGTCTGAGGAACAGCCAACTGCTTCTGCAACCCAATGGCAGGAAGATGTTCCCAGTGGCCAGGACAGAGCAGGAGGATATTCCCAGGGATACTGAACAGCATCAAGCAGGACTGGGGTCATGAGAAATGAGGGGAGCAGGTGGCTAGAACAGCCTGGGGACTTGGGCTGGTTGTATGGTGGACACACAAATGGCGGTGTGCTCAGTCATACAAATATCTTACCTACCCCAGCCTGGTGGCAGTTGGACTTCTCCTCCAGGCAGGGTGGAACTTGGGTTGTGGCCAGGGCCTTGACGCCAGTCGCCCTTCTGTACCTACCCTCCCAGAAGATGCTGTTAGTGTTTATCTGCTTTTAGCTGCCATGTCCACCTCTCCCTTTCTGTCCCTGAGTGTGGGAGGAAGTGGCTGATGGAGGGCTGCCTGCAGTCCCAACCTTGAAGAGGCTTTGGCCAGGGCATTTTAGATACATTATTGGAATAAACAAGTGGATGGTTTTGTTAAATTTTGTTCAGCTCCAGCTTAGTGTCTTCCTGGCCATTTTCCTTCCCTCCCAGGTTTTCGATGCCACCAACACTACCAGAGAGAGGAGACACATGATCCTGCATTTTGCCAAAGAAAATGACTTCAAGGTGAGCTAAACCCCTTGTTTAGTTCTGGAGAGCTCAGAAGGGATAAGGAGACCAGGGGGACCAGTTGGTGCCCCAATTCCTGCTTAGTCTTTCACCTCTTGCTGGCTGACTTTCGCTCTGGCAGGGCTCAGAGGGGTTTAGGGGGCATCCCTCCTGCAGTGGGCCAGTGGGGTCATGGATTTTTGTTGTCGGAATCAGTGAATGGCCTCTTTCCTTGTATGAGATCACACCACAGTGACGTCCAGGATGGTGCACTGTGATGTGTAGTTTTCTTTGTAAACATTTTTCTTGTTCTGTTTTATTTTTTTTTTCCTTAAAAAAAAATATTTGAGGCCAGTGTCAGAGTAATGGGTAATGCTACTGCATGCAGTGCTGGAATGCCATGGGGGCAGCAGTTTGAGTCCTGGCTGTTCCACTTCCTGTTTAGCTCCATGCTAGTGCATCTGAGAAAACTGTGGAAGATGGCCCAAATGCTTGGGCTTCTGCACCCGCGTGGGAAACCCACGTGAAGTTCCCAGCACCTGGCTTCCACCTGGTCCATTATAGCCATTGAGGAGTGAATCAGCAGATGGGAGAGCCTCTCCCTGTTTCTCTGGAACTCTGACATTCTAATTTACAAAGATTAAAAATATTGAAGAGGCAGAAGGAAAGAGATAGGTGGAAAAATCTCCCGTTCTTTGATTTACTTCTTAAGTGCCCATAGTACTTGGTCGGGCTGCAGCCAGGAGCCAGGAACTTGGGCTTGGTCTCTGAGCAGGTGACAGACAGAGACCCAAGTGTTTGAGCCTTAACCTGTTGTCTTCTAGGGTCTGTAATAGCAAGAAACAGAGGTGGGTCTCAAACCCGGATGCTTCCAGTTGGGGTTATGGGCGAGTGGTAGGACAAGTGCCTGCCCCTTAATGTGTCGGTTTCCTAACATCGCTGTCTGGCTTCCACCAGGTGTTTTTCATCGAGTCTGTGTGCGACGACCCTTCCGTTGTTGCGTCCAACATTATGGTAAGACGGCTTGCTGAGACCACAAGGATGTCTTCAATCCAAAACAAATGGGGGCCCAGGTCAGGGCCTGCAAAGTGACCCAACCCTGGGGCAGAGCTACCCCTGACCCCTTCTGTTGAGTCTGAGAGGTCAGAAGTGTGGCGAGAAGCCTGCCCCGTGCAGTGGGCTATTCCTCTGTGAGGGGTCTTTGAGAATAGTCAGCATGCAGTGTTGCCTGGGATGAATAAAGGAATACAAGCTACAATGTGGATGAACCTTGAAAATAATCTTCTAATTAAAAAAAAAATGTTTAAAAAGCAGATTTACAGAGACAGATTTTCCATACCCTGGTTCACTCCATAAATGAGTGCAATGGCCAGAGCTGAGCCGATCCAAAGCCAGAAGCCTGGAGCTTCATCTAGGTCTCATGTAGGTAGGACTAGGGTCATGGTCAGCTGCTTTTCTCATTAGCAAGGAGCTGGGATTGAAAGTGGAGCAGTGAGGACATACCTATATGGGATGCTGGCATTGCAGGTGGCGGCTTAACATACAACACCACCACTGCAGCCTTGATAATGTATTTTTAAACTACATTATAATCAAAGGCTTAATATCCCACTAGGTACAGAGCTCATCAGGAAAATGTTTAAAAAGTCCCTAGTTCAAGGGGAATGTAGGGAAGAAAGGAGGAAATATTATATTAGAATTCATCCATGGACTACCTTGAATGTGTTAAAAAAACTAAAAATGTGTTAAAAAGTTTAAAAATGTGACACTAAAACAAAACCTGGTGGAGAGGTTCCCATGTTTCAGAGGAAGTGCCATGCACCCGCCCTAGAGCCCTCTGTCTCCAGTGCCCCAAAGGGCGTTTGCTCAGGTGTGTGGAGGGCAGTTGGCTCTGACAGCAGTGTAGCAAAAACAGACTGACCCTGAAGGCTCTGCAACGGGTCACCCTCTGCCGTCTGAGCATCTCAGAATTAGTCATAAAGAAAGGTTTTCTGGATGAGCAGCAATTGCCACACTACTGCTGGGTGTAAAGGTGGATCTTAAAGGACATGCCAGGCTTGCATTGTCATCTCGGTCTTCTCCAAGAAGGGAAAGTTACCAGCCATCATGTTGAAGTAGTGAACTTGAGCTTAGGTGGCAGAGACTAAAGTCCTCAGGCCATCATTTGTTGCTTTCCCAAGTGCATTAGCAGGGAGCTGATCAGAGGCAGAGCAGCAGCCTGAACCTGAACCTGGGGCTCCCAGATGGGATGCTGGCATTGTAAGTGGTGGCCAAAGGTTAAACAGGCTGTGCCGTGGCTACATCACTGCTAGCTGCCCGCTGACATGGATCTTAGGACAGTCAGTGAGGGGGGCAGAAGAACACCAGCATTCAAATGTTTTGTTTGCTTGCTAGGTCTCTCAGGCTTGTAGTCTAGTTAGAGAAGCAGTTAATCTCGGCCCAGTGACAGCTGGGCGCTGCCTTTCTTGGGGACAGTTAAGATGCATCCACAGGAGGCTGGGGGCATCTCTAGGAACCACCGAGTGGACCTCCTCTACCCAGTGAGCTGCTTTCCGTGTGCAGGGCATTGCAGGTGCTTCGTGGACTAACGCTGACCTGAGGGCTGGCCTGTCTGGTGATCTCCCCCAGTTACTGGCCTGACCCGGACTAGGGGTGGTCCACGCAGAGGTGTAATTTACAGCATCCTCCTGGACTTCCTGTTTCCGTTCTTCCAACCAGCAATTCCGTGTCTCCCTGGTGCATCCTCCCCGTGTAATCATCAGGCTGACTCAACCCCCAGTTTTTTTTTTTTTAAATGCTGGGTAGGATAACCTTTATTCTCAGCTTTTCTGTGCTTTCCCCTTTTGAAAGCCCCAAATCCTGCTTAATCTACGCAGAAAGCCTTGCAGTGTGATTCATCAGCTGCCTCTTTGTGGTATTACAGGAAGTTAAAATCTCCAGCCCGGATTACAAAGATTGCAATTCAGCAGAGGCCATGGATGACTTCATGAAGAGAATCAATTGCTACGAAGCCAGCTACCAGCCCCTCGACCCCGATAAATGTGACAGGTAGCTCCTTAGCAGTGGCCGGCACCCTGTCCCTTGCCTGGGGGTTAGCAGTGTTGTCTTCAATTTTCCATGCAGTTTATGGAGACTTCCATAAACTTTTATTCTATTTATGTCTCTAAAAAAAATCTAGGATCACACTTTTACACTTAGTATAAATATTTTTCTTTTTAAAGACATGTATAAGATTTTATTTGAAAAGCAGAGAGATGGAGAGCGATTGAGAGAGGGAGACAGAAAAAGGGATCTTCCATCTCCCCAAATGGCTACAAGAGCCAGGGTTGGCAGGCTGGGGCAGAGCTTCCACGTCTCCCATGTGGATGGCAGGAGCCCAAGCATTTGGGTCGTCTTGTGCTGCTTTGCCAGGCGTATTAGCAGGGAGCTGCATCAGAAGTGGAGCACCTAAGAGCTGCACCAGCACTCTGCTGCCGGATGTCACTGTCACATGTACAGGTGTAATCCATTGATCTGCCCTAGTGCAAATACAACTGACATCAAGCAGAGGCATACACAACTGTACATTTGAGTTCACATTACCATCCTTCTGCTTCTCTCTTCGCCCTCATCTGGGATGCTCACAGCCTCTTGACTGTTGTGCTCTCTGACCTTTGGAGAGGAAGATCCTGCGTGCCCTTAGAGCAGTGCCTCCTGGGCCTAGGGATGGGTATGCTGTGCTGGGCGGAGGGAGGCCTCACGGAGGGTCTCTTTCTCCACAGGGATTTGTCGCTGATCAAGGTGATTGATGTTGGCCGGAGGTTCCTGGTGAACAAAGTTCAGGACCACATCCAGAGCCGCATTGTATACTACCTGATGAACATCCACGTGCAGCCACGTACCATCTACCTGTGTCGGCATGGTGAAAACGAGTATAACCTCCAAGGCAAGATTGGGGGCGACTCTGGCCTGTCCACCAGGGGCAAGAAGGTAGGAGTGACAAAGGGGCTGAGGATGGAGGGACAGCGGAGGGGACTGCTCCATTGTTCAGGAGAAGGGAGTTATGGATTCTCCACGTGGGGGGATGCATTTTTTTGCCACTGTTCCTTAAGTGTGTTCGGTGCATGTGTCTGGGTGCAGTAGAGGGTACCTGGGAGGTGGAGGGCAGAGGTGAGTGTCCTGGGCTCTGCAGTGGCATGTCTGTCATGGGGACATAGCCAGCTGTTTTCTATGGTGGCTCTTGGACCCTTCCCGCCATCTAATCTCAGCCAAGTACTGTTCTGTGTGAGCTGTGTGAGCCCTCCCTCTGCCCAGGAAGGTCAGCTTGCCCTCTCTCCCACCCCCTGTTAGTTTGCCAATGCCCTGAGCAAGTTTGTGGAGGAGCAGAACCTCAAGGGCCTCCGGGTGTGGACCAGCCAGCTAAAGAGCACCATCCAGACAGCCGAGGCCCTGAAGCTGTCCTATGAACAGTGGAAGGCACTCAACGAGATCGATGCCGTGAGTCCCGGTCCCAGGCGTTTGTGTCTGCACCGAGGGTGGGGAGCCCTAGTGGGGATCTCTAGGAATGAATGGTCGTGGGTGGCCCTTTCAGGCGTGTTCCTTCCAGTGACCACTTGCTCTGTGCCACCAGGGCGTGTGCGAGGAGCTGACATATGAGGAGATGAAGGATACCTACCCTGAGGAATATGCGCTACGTGAGCAGGACAAGTACTACTACCGCTACCCTACAGGGGAGGTGAGTGTGGGGGTCAGCTCCTGTCCTCCCCTCTCCGTCTGCAGCCTTGTGTTCATTCCAGAGGATGGCCAGGATAGGGAGCAGGTGTCAGACACAGTATTGGCTGAGAGGGCTGTGGTTCACAATGCCATGCATGCCACCATAACTGTTAATTCTGGAATTCCCCCTCATTCCAAAAAGAAATCCCAGACCTGGCAACTGCCAATCTACATTGTCTGTGGATCTGCCTCTTCGAGACATCTCCTCGAAATCTCATAATGTGTGATTGTGTGTGTGTGTGTGTGTGTGTGTGTGTGTGTGTGTGTGTGTGTGTGTAGCTTTCATGCATGTCAGGACCTCATTCTTTTTTATTACTGAATAGTATTCCATCGTAAGGGCTGGCATTGTAACACAGCAGCAGGTTAAGCCACTGCTTACAGTTTATCAGTGCTAGTTTCAGTTCAGGCTGCTCCGCTTCTGTTCTAGCTTTCTGCTTAGTGCCCAAGAAGATGGTAGAAGATGATCCAAGTACTTGAACCCTTGTCACTCCTGTGGGAGACAGGGCTTTAGCTTGGTGCAGACCTGGCTCTTGCAGCCATCTGGGGGATGAACCGGTGAATGAAAGGTCTCTCTCTGTTTCCTTTGCTCTCCTTCATTTCTGCCTTTCAAATAAGTAAGTCATCCCCTTCTCAGCCACTGCTGTCCCTCAACTCATGAGGAGAGGGTAGGAAGAGGAAAGAATTGACAGAAAACAGATTTATGTTTCTCTCATAGACTTTGCCATTTGAAGGAATAAACACAAGAGATGGACAGATGAATGAATGGATGGTTGCATGGGGTATAGATGGGTTGGTAGATGAATGAGTGGACATGGTGGTTGGGCGAGTGGATGGTTGGGTGCGCAGATGAGTAGGTGGATTGCTGGGTGAGTGGAGGGGTGGCGTGCTTGTCTAATAATGATAGAAGACCATGACACGTCCGGGAGGGTTACTTACCAAGTACCTTTGCTCCAACGTGATGTCCTGTCCCTCTTTGTTCAGTCCTACCAGGACCTGGTCCAGCGCCTTGAGCCAGTGATCATGGAGCTTGAGCGGCAGGAGAACGTGCTGGTCATCTGCCATCAGGCTGTCCTGCGCTGCCTGCTGGCCTACTTCCTGGATAAGAGTGCAGGTACTTGAGCAGGTTCCTGGCCTGGGAGGAGGGAGGAGCAGGAGGGAGGGAGGAGAGAGAGAGACTTCATTGAGCATGTGCGACCACAGGCTCATTTTTCAACCTGGTTCAGGCTTGGCTGTTAGAGTCTTGCATTGTTCTACCTTTCAAATATTTTTAAAATAAACTTAAGAGCTAGGGTTCAGGTAAATAGTTTGCTTGGGGAATGTATTTAAAAAACACAAAAAACTGACTCATTGTGAGAGTGGGTGGGTCTGTTTCCTTGCTTTGGCTGGGTTCTTTTGGCAAGGTACCTTTTCCTAGCACCCTTTGCCTTGCTCAGGATGGGCCTGTGCTGGGAGAGGACACCTGGTCAGGCATGGCTTCTGAGGTTCCTTGAGTGGCAGGAGTTCCTGCAGTGGCCTGTGGCTGTCCGAGCATGTCTCCACCTGCCTCTCCACCTATCTCATTGCTAACTGTGGGACCACGTCTCTGTTGCAGAGGAGATGCCTTACCTGAAATGCCCCCTTCACACCGTCCTGAAACTGACACCTGTTGCTTATGGTGAGTAGCAGCAGCCCATGCCGAGCCCCCTGGTCTCCCAGTTGTGATGGCTTCTGAGGGACTGTGAGGCTGTAGGCAGAACTGTGCCTCCCATAGAAACCCCAGAGCCTCTCACTCACCCCTTTTCCCCCAGGTTGCCGGGTGGAATCTATCTACTTGAATGTGGAGTCAGTGAGCACACACCGCGAAAGGTCAGAGGTGAGTAGGGGCACCTGGATACCCCTCCCTTCTTGGCCTTCATCATTCTTGGGGTTTGTGTGGAGTGATGGAACCCACAGGAAGCCTGTGCCTGTGCTGTAGGGCTCAGATGTTCTCCCTGAGCTTGCTTCTCTGCCCTCGGCCTAGCTGGCTGCCTTTCTCAGCGTCCCTGTGCTCTCCCTGGCTTTCTTGTCGCTTCTCCAGAGATCTGCTTTCTCTCTGTGACTTCTTTCATTTCTCCTTCACCTGTGAAATTAACGTTACAGAGGAAGACACAGCGATGGCATGTTTTGCTGCCTTTTCCCTTTTCCTCTCTGACAGCTAAAACCATGCTTTTGAGTTCAGGAGTCACCAGTTCAAAGAGGTCCTGCCGTTGGCCTTGGCCAACTGCATCTGCTTAGCGCAAGAACTGGATAGCATGGGAGAGTAGAGGTGGGGCTGGGGATGAGCGCCATCAGAGATGGCTAACCAGCGATCCAGTACCTGGCCAAACCTGTTTGGCACTTCAGAGGGGTCTGAATTCCGGGAGTCTGTCTGATTGCTTCTCTGCCCAAGTTTGAATGTGCTTATTGCAGAGCCTTACCAGACTGAGTCAGGCTCTTCCTCTTTCACCAGGTAGGGTTTTCTGTCTGCTGAATTTCCAAAACAACACAACTGAAGTCTGCCAAGGAGCTTGGCCAGCAGACTTCGGCATTAAGAGGCTCTGAGAGTACCCGAGTACTGCCAGCTCCCACGGGCAGTTACTTGGCTGATGGGCTGAAAGCCTGGGTGCTGGCTTGGTTGGCCTTGCCTTAACTCCTGCTCCCTCCTTTCCCAAGGCTTGGTAACTAGATGCTGCACTTGCATTTATTCTATGAGGACCAGCCTAGCCCTGTCTGGCACTTCAGCTCTAGTGCTCAGCCTGGGCTGGGCTATGCTGGTTGCTGAAAGCTGCCCTGCATAGAGCGGGGCTCTCCCTGAGGCTCCTGGATCCCCGGCAGTCATGTCATCTCTGTCCTCTGGTCCTAGCAGGCTCCGCCTCCCGTGGGTGTTCTGTGTATCTGGTGTCTGTGTCCTGTCCTTAGCCAGGGTGGTGTTTGTATGCGCATTGTGCATGTGTGTGATGCAGGGCCAGGCTTGGGTGGAAGGGAGTCAGTGCTGACACCTCTTCCTACCCCTCCTGTGGACCTCGTCTGTCTCCCAGGCTCTTGGTCTGTTGCGGGTGCTGGAAGCAAAGTTCTTGTCTCTGATCTTGTACCCTGTGGCCATTGTTTCCCTCCCTGCCTGGCAGACATCTTCGTGGTGGTGTTAATCTGTGTGCAATCCAAGAACCAGAAGGAACATGGAGGAAGTACCCATCACTCCTTCCCTCACCCAGCCTGGTCCCAGGCCCCCTCTCCTCCTTTGTCAGTCATGTGATATACCTCTCTAAAATCCAGGAACAGGAGAACTTTTTTTAATGGCTTATTGACCTTCCCTCTCCTTGTAACTGTCGCCTTCTCTCTTTTGTCTTTGTCTTGCTTAGGATGCAAAGAAGGGACCTAACCCGCTCATGAGACGCAATAGTGTCACCCCACTAGCCAGCCCCGAGCCCACCAAAAAGCCTCGCATCAACAGCTTTGAGGAGCATGTGGCTTCCACTTCTGCTGCCCTGCCCAGCTGCCTGCCCCAGGAGGTGCCCACACAGCTACCCGGACAAGTCAGTGACTCCCTATTTCCTTCCTCCCCTGGGGTGGGGGATGGGTGGCAGTGGCCTCAGGCCTGGGACTGTGTGTGTGTGTGTGTGTGTGTGTGTGTGTGTGTGTGTGTGCGCGCGCGCGCATAAATCTGTGTCTGTGCACATGTGCACCCGTGTATGCACAAGAATGCTCTGGGGAGCAGGGGGTGGTGTCCCCTTCCTTGCCAAGTATGTGGACAGAGCCAGGCAGCACACAAGAAACAGTGATGTGTCCTTTCACATTCTCAAATGGTTATTTCCAATACACCAAACCCTTAATCTCTAGGTCTCCATGCAGCTCTGGGCCTGCACATCTTTTCTGTTTCCCACTCTGTCTTTTGCGGTCACTTCCATTGCAGAGAAGCACAGGGTTCATGAAGAGAACTTTCCTCCTAAGCCCTGGAGCTGGCATACCCCTGAGGCCAGATCCACAGGACAGAGCCACTTTTGTCACATCATGTGGCTATTTTAGCAGGAAGTAAAAACTAAACCCCCTTCCTCCCAACCAGATTTCACTGATTTTATTGGCTCTGGGTATCAGAGGCTGAGACAGTCATTCTTGAGTGGTAAGATTTGTTATCCCAAAATCGATATTTTCCTCACAGATACTCGAGATTCAGGGCAAATGTGCAAGCCATAGTGATATCTGGGCTCAAAGTTAGGTATCGCTCCCTACTCTACAGGCTGAATTTCACATTGGGCTTGTTTCTAAGATCCAAGCAAAAGACCTCTTCAGCACACCAATTCTTCCTGACTCCCTCAGGGGCTTCTTTAAACCCTGGAGAGCCTGGAATGTGACCTGGCAGGTGTGTTTGTTTGGTGGGGTGGGGTGTGTGTGTGCCAGGGCTTTGCCCCTTGGAATAAAGTCCTGCCTCCCAACTGACCTCTCTCTCTTCACTTTTTTTCTCCCTGCAGCCTTTGCTAGGGAAAGCCTGTCTGTAAGTATTTCTCTCTGAATAAATCTGCTGCCCACACCTCTTTCTTCTGCTCACTGCTTTGGCTTCTGGCCTGTTAACATGTCAAAGATAGGGACAGTTTTGGTGAAGTCCGAGAGGTCTTCCCTGGGGAGAGGAGGAAGTGCAGTATGGGTGTGAGAGGAGGAGCTGGGAGCTAATGGATTCTTTTTTAGAAAGGTGTGCAAGAAGCGCTGCCTTGCAGCTGGTAAGCAGCCTGACCTGCTACTGCTGAAGCCGCAGCTGGCTCCTCCACAGTCCCTCTCCCAAGCCTGAGTGGTTGTAATGGCCTTGGTGTGCAGCTGAGTGTAAATCCACATTTTCCCTCCTAGAGTCAGAGTTTGGTGAGGTGGGTCTGGGCATGCTACCATGGGCCTCCCGTGGGAGCAGGAGGGGCAAGATCAAAGCCTAATCTGCAAAAGGAATCAAGGAGGCTGTCTCCTGGTAGACAAATGGTGGGGCTGGAGCCCCCCAGGCTGTGGAGAGTTCTATGTTGGCAGCTGTTGCTAGGGATCTGGTGGTCAGTGATCACATAGTGGTGCCTGCTCAGCCATTAGCTTCATCATGCTCAGGATCAGGTCCAGCTGTCATATTAGACCCAGTAGGTTGCCCCTTGCTTCTGCCTGGGCCCTTTGTAGAAGGTTCCTGGTTCAACATTAGTTCCAGCAACCACAGGGTGGAGAACTCAACATCTCTATGGCTCCCAGGATCCCCAACCTGAGGAAGAAGCCAAGGGCTTCATAGGGCAGCTGCCATCTTGCCACAACTCTGCCCAACTCCCCTTGTATGGGAACTGGAAGGATTTGAAAAGTTTATCTGGAAGAGCTGCAAAGCAGGGCTTGGTTCTGCAAAGCAGGAGTGATTTGGCATTGTGCCTACATGATGGTGGCAGCCTGCAGGCAAAAATGTACCATGTAGGGTTTTGCAGCACAGGAGAAAGTGATGATGAATCTCTCGCATCCCTGAAACGCCCCTGGAGGTGGCCAGATGGGGCTGCGATTAGCTGTGTGTCCATGTGACCACCTATCCTGCCGGCACCAGAAGTGGCCCTTGCAGGGATCTGTTTCTTAGAGCTGGCGTCTTCCTCTCTTCTGGATCCTGTTCTCCCGGTTCCTTTCCCAGCACTGCTCCCTGATCCTTACCACCTGTGGGGCAGGGCCAGGTCATGCAGCTGTCAGCTCCTGTTTGACTCCCACAGCCTCTGCTTGCAGCTGCTTCCTGTGGCTGCGGTTTTGTTTACCTAGTGATAAGCCTGTGGGTTAAGTTAGTCTTCAAAGACAAAGCCATCCCCACAGCTCAGTGTCTGTTTGTCTTGGGAGCCAGCATTGCAGCACCTAGACTTTGCCAGGATCAAGGTTCTCCTTGTAGGGAACAGCCTTTGTATTTGGACCCTTGGGGCATGGCATCTGAACATAGCCCCTTCTGACCAAGGCTGCCAAGAAAGAAAACTCTTAGCTGTTGGGCACCATTCAGAGGCATCTCCCTGACCTGCTGAGGTTGACCTTGCCCACCTCCAGGGCAAATGTCAAAATGGCCTGGGCTAGAATCTTTCCAATTCAGCAGAAATCCTTTCCAGTGTTGTGTATAGTCGAGCCTTGCTGGTCAGTGTACTCCTTGACTGGGAGAGTTTAGGAACCCACGTGGGCATTGTGCTCAAGCTCAATGATTAGGGTTGGGGTGAGGTATGGGTTTGTGCCTTGGTGGCTGTCTTTGGAACTCTAGGGGAGAGTTAAAGCAATTCTAGAACCTCAGCTAGCAACTCAAGAGTGAGATTTTGTCTGCTGGTTTACTCTCAAATGGCTGTAATGGCCAGAGCTGGACCAGGTCGAAGCTAAGAACCAGGAGCTTCATCTAGATCTCCCACATTGGTATCAGCGGCTCCTTCACTTGGGCCAACCTCCACTACTTTTCCCAGACCATTAGTAGGTAGCTGGATTGGAAGTGGAGAGACTGGGAATCAAACCAGCACCTGTAGGGGTTGCAAGTATCACAGGTGGTGGTCTTACCCGCTATACCACAATACTGGTCCCACACATCCTTCAGTTTTATATTTTACATGCACATGAAAAAAAAAAAAACTGCTGCTGAAGACTTATTTTTCTTTTCCAACCTCTTTCTTCCTCTTGCCCTCTGTGCGTGAAAAGGCGAACTGTATGTCACATTTTCTCAAAATTTTCTCCTTACTAACCTTGGACAGGTAACTGAGTGGGTGCATGTCCCTCTGTCCCCTCTGCATCCATCTGTCCAAGTCATGCATCTCGGCCCTAGGGCCTCTTGGTCTATGTGCAGGCTGGCCATTGTGGAATATGTGCCTCGTGTGTGTCTGTGCTAGAGGGGTTTTTACAATATCCTGAGGTTCTTTCTATGTGTGCCTTTCTAGTGGGAGCCCTGTGTGCCTGAGCCAGGGCTCCCATGACTGAGTGACAGGGACATTGCCTGCCTTGCAGCCCTCCACGTGCCCGTGTCGTGTCTCCATCCTGTGTGGGTGCTTGGAGGTCAGGTTGGAGCCAGTAGTGGCGGAGGGGCACGACAGACCCTTACTCTCTGGTCTCACAGCTGGACTAGGACCCTCTGTAGACACAAATCTAGGCTGCACCCAGGAGACGCCACTCTTCACAGACGGCCCCACACTCCTTAATTCCCAAGTCCTATATCCGTGTGCTGGTAGTCCTGCCATTCCATCAGGGATGTTTCGGCCCTGGACCCAAGCTTTGACGTGGGATAGGAGTGGGCTTCAGATTGGCTGCCTGTAGAAGTCTTGGCGGAAGCCCTTGGGATCAGAGGCAATGCTTTTAAAACTTCCATGTTTTGCTTTTTGTTCTTTGAGGCGTAGCTGGAAGAAGGATGAGGAAGGAGGCCGCTGTTGGGCAGTGGCAGCAGCCATGTGTCCCCAGGGCTGTGGCTAGGGAGCTTCTTGCGAGGGTCCCTGTGATCAGGTCACAGTGTGGGACTGCAGCCACACAGCCCTCCGCTGCCTGGCTCCTGGCCTGGGCCTCCTGGCCACTGTCGCCATCCCACAGATCACCCATGTTCTCCCTGTTGAGTTGTGTTCCTCAAATCCAGAGGCCAAGCGCCTGATGGGCAGAGGCAGCAAGAAGCAGGCTGGGCTTCTCTGGAGGCCTCGCTCTACCTCTCTGCCAACCTTGCAACTCATGGTCCTCCCTGAACAGCTGGTTGGGGCCCACAGGAAGAGCTGTGGAATCCTCCCTGCCCCGCTTCCCTGGCCCCTGTGCCAGTCAGGCTATGTGCCTGTGTGCCCAGCCCTTCTCTCTGGGACTCTACCCGGTCAGATTCTGGGACCTGCCTGGACTGCCCTCCCCTGTTAGGCTGGTGACACATTTCTTATGTTGTTTTCTTTTAGAGTAGAGGTGGGGCAGAAGGGTGGGCGGTGCAAGTGACATGGCTTGTAGTCTTCTGCTTTAAAAGATAAACCAGCAACCACTCTTAACCCTGTTCCCCAACCCTCTTGTCTCCTGGAAACAGAACATGAGAGGCTCCCAGAACGGCGCCGACTCCTCCCGGAAGCACTGAAGCAGACGCATCCAGGTCCATCCCCACACCTTAGCTTATGACCTCCCGCCAACCTGAGGTCAAATTGATCCCATGGACTTTCCCTGGGACGGGGTGGGTGGAGCAAAGAGGCGTCTGCTTGCTCAAGAAAAGCTACATGCCACCACAGCATCGTGGTTGGGGTGGCCGAGACCCCAGAAAGTCCCACTGATTCACGACTTCCCATGTCAAGCTGCCGGCTGCCCCACCCTCAGAGCTCTCAGAATTTCCAGGGTGTCTGACCTCACTGAGGATGGTGAGAACTGGAGAGGGGTGAGGGATGAAAGACCCCGGCTCATTTAGTTTCTGTGAGCTTCTTGCCCTGTCATGTCAGTTGCGGATGAAGACACAGGGCTGGTGGAGCACCCTGCAATCACAGGAGGGCCAGATTATACATGCTGAAGGTCAAGGGACACTCAAAGACTTTTCACATAGCTCCTTCCGGCCAGGGAAGGTGCCTCGTGGAGAATGCACTCTGGCTTGTGCCAGGTTGGGGAACAGGGCTGTCTGGAGAAGTCCCTGGGTGTAAGACTGGCCTGCCTGCCTGCCAAGTGTTGAAGCAGCTTGGCTCTTCCGCACATCCACATGCCTGGCTTCAAGAACAAACTGGCTGCACAGGCAGAAGGAAACCATTTCTGTCAAGATGGACTCACCAGGACACCCCTCCCCACAGGGAGCCGTGAGGTCCCCCTGCTCTCCTCTCTGGACTCGGGGGTTACAGGAGAGAATCATTCTCCCAGAGCTGCTTGCTTTCGCACTTTGTTTATCGGTGGTCTTGAAAGTGTGATCTGGAAGTCACACCTCTGCATGAACCTGGATGTTGGGTGCTCCAGATAGAGGCCTGTGGGGGCTCGGAGCCTATGATTATGGGGAGTTGGGTGCACCCATCAGTTGGGAAAGCTTGGAGTAGAGCGTTGAAATCGCTGCGTGAAGAAGCTCCTACAGGACTGACTGCCTTTCCCAGGTGGGAACCATGGCCCACCCGAGCAAGGCCTCAAACCAGGGTACTGTCTTCTGCATGTATTTGTGGTACAGCATCTGCCATGGGCCTGGTGCTACACCAGGGGCTTTGGAAAATTCAGAAGGGTAGAATGGTGGCCTGGTCTGGCTTTGCCTTCATGGCATCTGTGATGTTTTTGTTGGGATTGAAAGCGGGGTGCACAGGACAGTGGTTCTGAGGACCTGTAGTTTCTTCCTGTGGGTTTTGCCTCACGTGCCCGGGCGGGAGGAGTTGTCTTGGGCCCAGAAGTAACACTTTGGAAACTCAGGATATCTCATAGCTTCCGAGTACCAAAGGTGACTTTTCTTCTCTGCCTTGGACTGTGCAAAGGTACAAGTCCTGGGCTGAGAGTTCAGGTCATTGAGGACTTTGAACCTGGGAGTAGAGAGATGAACGTTTTTTGTTTGAGGGGAATGCTTCAAGTATACACATTTCTCTGATTGGGAGATGGGGACATGGCCTCAGGTCCCATAGGATGAAGCACTTGGTGTTTCAAACCAAATTGTGCAAGTCTTCCCTGCTACCCCATCCATCTCCCTTAAATGGGTTGTCTGCCCCAGAGCCTGTCTGGGTCTGCATCCTGGGCCATGTAACAATTGGGTTGTTTCCCCCGCACCCCCCCTCCCAGACACATGAGTCTAAAGACCGGGCATATTCAAGACAGGAGGCAGGGGCCTGCCCATTTGCTCTTGAGAATGGTTGCTTACATGTGACTTTTGGGTCTTGTGCTGTAGTTGTTGGAGCTGATGCTTTGAACCTGGGTAGGAGCTGGAGGCCTGTGCAGTCCCCCATCTCTGACTCCCTGAACATGGGGCTTAAGTGCAAGAAGGGCCTAGGTGAGGGAGAGAGGTTGTACAGGACAGGGTGGGGAGCTGCTCAATTTGAAAGCCAGTGACCTGACATTGGGAGGAGGCTCTGCACAGTGGGTGGATGTGGGCCACAGCTGTGGAATGTCTGTTTCTACTGATTCTCACTCCACTACACCACCACCCTGCCAAATAACTGGACCAATTTTCTTAACTTTGCATATTTGTTTTTGAGTGGGTTTCTCCCTTACTCTGTCCTGAGACCGTGGGCAAAAAACTCCCATCTGGGGGAAAAGAAAAACTGTTTGAACCACACCAATGATACTTTTTTCGTTTGTAATACTTGAAATTTATTTTTTTATTATTTTGATAGCAGATGTGCTATTTATTTATTTAATATGTACAAGGGAGTCAAAAAGATTGAAAGCTGTATAGGTTGATTTTAGTTGTTCATTGGTTTGGGGACCTTTTATGTGTGACTGCTGACTTCTGTTCTCTGTATATTTGGATTAATGATCTGGGCTGAAGCTGTGCTCGCTTTCAAACAAGGAATGCCTTTCAGAAATTTGTATATTTTGCATTTACCAGGCCAATAAAATACTTGGTTGAAATACACTGATGAAGTATACCTCAAAATCTTTTTGTTAGGGTTGGGAGAGAGGCCTGTAGTTGACATTCACTTCGTTTTCTTCCTTTCAACACAATATGCACATCAGGCAAGAAGTTGGGTCCATGTTGTGATACTTGATGTTTTAGAATGGTTTTAGATTGATGGCAAACAGCAGCGAGTTCAGAGTGTTTCTGTGGCGAAACACAGTTCTTGGCATCCTTTGTTAGTGTGGCACTGGTGTTGCTGTGTGATGGAGTCCATCCCGCCAGGCTTTGCACTGAGTTCTGGGCTTGCTGCTGTGTCTGCCACTACAGTATCATACACAGTGATGCAGCCACTTTGATTCCTTTTGTCTCCCTCTTCCCTGCCCCCAGTCGTTTGAAACAGCAGGGCTTTTGTTTCTACTTTTCAAATATTTACTTAATTGAAGGGTCAAGTGACAGAGCAGGAGAGACGGAGTAATCTCGCACCTGCTGTTTCGCTCCCCAAATGGCCACAATGTCCAGGGTTGGGCCAGACTGAAACTGGCAGCCAGGAACTCCATTCCAGTCTCCCACAAGGGTGGACTGAGTCCAAGTACTTCGGCCCTCTTCCACTGCTTTCCCAAGCATTAACATGGAGCTGGATTGGAAGCAGAGCAGCCAGGACTCAAAACACTTCATGACGCCAGCGTTGCATGCAGGGAGTGGCTTCACTCACTGAACCACAACCCTGCCCCCAGCTGCAACTCTTGGGTAAGCATTGCATCACGTGAGAGCCCTCAAATAGGTCTGACACAATGGTCCAATTGGCTAATCCTCTGCTTGCAAGCATCCACCTCCTAAATGGGTGCCAGTTTATGTCTTGGCTGCTCCACTTCCCATCCAACTTCCTGCTTATGGCTTGGAAAAGCAAGGAGATGTTGGCCCAAAGCCTGGGAACCCTGCAACTATGCGGGAGACTTGGCGGAAGCTCCTGGTTCCTGGCTTTGGATTGGCTCATCTCTGGCATTGCACTCATTTGGGGAGTGAATCAAGAGTGGAAAATCTTTGTCTCTCCTCTGTAAACCTGTCTTTCAAGTAAAAATGTCTTTTTTTTAAAGAGTCTTCAAGTAATAAGCATTATGAGGTGGCACGTTTCACTGCCGGGTCCATTCACTTCTCACTGTTCCCCATCCCTTTCTAGTCCCTTCCAAAGCTTCAGAGGAAAAAACTATTTCATTGCTGTAGCTTCTTCACCACCCAAGTTGCCTAGTTTCTTTCTCCTTACATCACTCAAGGCTGAGGACTGAAAGAATGCAGACGTGTGGCTGTTTCACTTGGATTTTTTTCCCTCCAGGGTCCCTGCTGCTATACTCCAGAAATAGCCATGACTCAAAACGAGCCTTTGCTTCATCCCTTACATATTCCCAACACTAGCTGTGAAGAGAACAGGCGTCCATGGCGTGGTCTGGAAGCAACAGCACTCTGTTAAACAAGAGGTTGGGCCCCTGGGGGTGATTGCTAATCAGTGCAGTTAAAGAGCAGTGGCCTTGACAAGACACAGGCTTTGTCATGAAATCTGGCCAGTCTTTCATGATACCTACGCAGATACTGCCCTAAAAGAGGATGTATCCATATGTCAAGGTCCTCGGGAGCTGCTGTTGCCATGGGAATTGGCCATGGTCCTATGGCCAGTGGTCATCTGTGTGACGTCAGGCCAAGTGTGCAATTATTGACTAAATGTCGAGGAGTGAGTAACCGGGTGGATGGCTTTTAATTTATATTTTATGATTTTGCCCATGGAATTGCTTGCAAACCTTTCAAAGTATGCCGCTTCCCTTAGGCGTATGATGAACTTGAAGGCAGACTAGTAGAAACCCAGTATCCTTTTTTAAAATTGCTTCTAAGCTTGACCTTTTCTCATTCAAAACTAAATTTACCAGTGTTCCCGTCCTCTGCCTGAAGTGGTTAACCAAGTCTTTCAATGCCATCTGTTACATAAATCCAAGTAAAAACCATCCTTACCATAGTTACAAAAAATTGGAATTGAGACTGCTGGCAGGGTGAGCTGAGCCCAGGCCTGGAGGGAGAAACACCTGCTATGAGGATTCCAGGCTCATTCTGGCCCCAAACCCAGACGGCACCACCTGCAACTCTCTTTTGTTAGGAGGTCACATTACCGTAGCAAATCTAACTGCCCACACTGCATCAACCTCTGCTCATCACCACGCGTCTCAGCAGAGCCTTCAGAGCTCATTCCTTCAAGCTTTCAAGCTTAAAGTGCTAGCGACAAGGCGTCCAGCTTCTGTGTTGGAGGACAGCATTTGAAGTTCATGAGCTTTGTCCTCTGAACATGCCTGCTTATGCCAATCCTGGCTGATCAGCCTTTTGACCTCCCATTTGGGGCCCCAGCCAAATGGGATTATGTCTAAACTGTTACAAGTCAGAGCCCATCAGTTTGAATTCAATGGTTCTTAATCAGAGTTGCAAGTCACAATTGCCTGGGGATGGTTTCCAAAATGCCTACTGTCCTGGTATCACTCTGGGAAGTTTGGAGGGAGGATTGTGATTTATAATTCAAGGCCTCCAGGCATTTATACTTATGGTGCCCTAAATGATTTTTGAAAGATATCAGTCAAGAATCACTGGCTCAGATTGGCTGATGGCACCTCAAAATATTTGTGAAAAATGAAATGCAAAGACAAGTTCATTTTGATGCAAATGTTTTTTGTACTGTGGTTTTTTTGTACTGTGCATACTTCAAGAAAAAGAGCCGCTGTGTAGGCATGTATTTCAAAGTTTGCTTGCACTGAAACAGACCATCTTTTCATTGCATTTCGCACGAACATTTTGATTGCCTTCATGATGAGATGAAAATTAGAAGCAGGTTGGGGTAGGAAACAACTAAAAGAAACCTAACGGGGCTAAGACAAAAGCAAAGGGTCCCCCATATGTAAAAAAAAAAAAAAAAAAAAATATTCATGGCACTGTATTGTCAGTAAATGCTTAGACCTGGGGTCGGGATATGTTGGGAAGGTAAGAGAGGTACAGGCGATTTGTCAATTTTGGGTTTCTAGAGACACAAACTTAAGCAAGGGCAACTATGCTGTGGCATCTGGGATTCACTGAGCCACCAGCAACTGCATTTGTTAAACATGGGCAGCGAGGTAGCCGGGCCTGATTGAGAGAGCCTCAGTTTATCTGCCCAAGTCCTGGCTACCTAGGAGAATCACAGGTGTAAGGGAGCCTGCTGCAGTGTGTGACCCGGGGTCATTCCACGCTCTGGAGGTGGATGCTCTTGGTTCCTTCTTGATCTGTGAACCTGGACAAGTTGTTGCGAGTGTCTTTTAACGTGTTCTTTCATTCATCAAATGACATATCCTATTACTAAGTTGTCCCATCAATTTATCACCTTCATGTGCAAAATATAACAAACCATAGGTGCATCTGAATTGTGTGCTGGTACTTTCACTCAAGGTGGACCTTCTCATCCCCTTTTCGTAGCTGTGGAGTAGAAACTACGAAGAACTGAAGAAGTCTGCTTTTTTTTTTTAATTTCAAAAGATTTATTTGTTGATTTATAAGGGCAGAGCAACAGAGACACAGACACAGAATTTTCCATCTGCTGGTTCACTCCATAAACAGTTGCAACAGCTGGGCTGAGCCAAGCTGATATGAGGAGCATCTGGGTCTCCCACGTGGGTGGCAGGAAACCAAAAACTTGGGTCATCTGCTGCTGCTTTCCTAGGTACGTTAGCAGGGAGCTGCACCTGAAGTGAAGGATTCCAGACTTGAACCAACGCGAACATACGATTAACTCACTGTGCCACAATGCTAACTTCCATGCTTGCTTGATTTTTGGCCAGCCAGAGCTGAGGATGAATTCCAGCTCTGTTAGGCTGCCCACGCATGCCTTTAGCCAAATCACAGCCTATGACTGCACAGCCAGCCAGGCGCTCTGTGGGATGAGTCACCACACCATAGGAATGGGAGTGGAGAAGCACATTAATTAGCAAGCCTGCTTTTCTGTCCGCTGGACTGTGAAGAACAGGTTTGCTGGAAGGGGTCTCATCGTAGTATGCACCTGCATGGTCTCTAAGCTAATGTGTTACTCCTGGCCATCCTGAATAAATATCCTCTGCTTACCCTCATTCTGGGGAACATGGAGATTTTTCAAAGTGTTTTCCTGCACAGTTGCCTTTAAAGGAATGGGATTCCAGGTCCTCAACTTGCATGTCCCTATTTCTTTCAAGTAGCTACAACAGATTACTTACTTTTTCTTTTAAGATTTTTTTAAAAAGATTTATTTTATTTTTATTGGAAAGGCGGACATACAGAGACGAGGAGAGACAGAGAGGAAGATCTTTCGTCCAATGATTCACTCCCCA